AAAAATGATTAGCGTCAATTTTTATGTCAAGTGACCTTGTCACATCGCATGTGATCCAAAAATATTCTCACAAAAATAATATGATACTATCATATTACTTAACAATTTTGTTTACGAGAAGTACGCCTCCTTAATTTAACCATTAACTTATTGTCAAGCCTTCTACTTCAACATTAGTTAGTTACTTGAAGTCTTAATGTTGTTGCTGGAAAAATAGGAATAAAAAGAGTCAAACTTTTATTGTGAATGTTGGACTGTAACCATTATTGTTACAACTATAACTTTCGCGTGGCGAAAAAACGAAAGGGAAAAAAAATACAATTTACCGAAAAAAGGCCCATGGCAATTTGCTCAAAGTTCAAAGTTGAAGGTTGAAACCAAAAACATGGTAGCATGAGAATTGTAACTTCCATGTTTGACAACGCAACATAAACATGGGAAATACGAAGTTTAACGGCTTTTTATGTGTTGGATGAGTAGTGAGATGCAAGAGGTTGATACTCTGTAGAAGAAGAAGAACCAGCTTATTTCCAACCAGGTAATCGTCAGCCACTTAGTGGCTAACACGTGTGGGTGCTGACAGCGTCACACGTAGGCAATCTCAATCCAAACTAACCTTATCAAACGTCCTACACCGTTGATCAGACTTACTATTATACCGTCAAACATTTAATTGGTCACGTGCTTTTCTAAGCTACGCTGTACAATTAAAATTGGTGCACAGGATTGATTTTGATTTGGGCGGGGAACGGCTCGCGAGAGTCGAACCAGGAAATTGAATGGTTAATAAGTGGATGACTTGATGGTGAAGCAAGTCAACTTGATGGTCGGTGATGATATTATAGATCTACGGCACGCAACTGTTACAAAATCTTCAACATGCAATTTTTTTGCCTATTTTACCCTTTATTATTAGTAGTAAATAAGTTGACCCAAAAAAAGAGTTAAGTATTGGGCCTCCCACGTTTTGATGATTGCACTCCATCTCCATGTGAGTGGAGGGCCTGGAGAGGGTATTGTCCATGATGAAAAATTCAAGTGCGTAAATGAAAAAAGTGTGCTACCACCACAAAATATAATTTTTTTATTAGTACAAGCGTTAGTCTAAATGATTTCTAACACACACACTACAATGGTATCATGATGGTTCGAACATGAGACCACTAGCTTGCAAGTCAAGGTCATTTTTCATTGGGCTAGACCCCATTAGCCATAAAAACAATTTTTAAATTCAATTATTTTGGTCACCAAACTCTAGGCAAAAATAATTGAATATTTGAAAAATAAATTGCCAGATATATAAAACCCACAAAGTGGCTCAAATCTACATGATGTGGTAAGTACTCATTCTTATTAAAGCTTTAAATTTTTATTTGAACTTATTTTTTGTTTTTACTCATGCGTAGGACGTGTACGCGAAAAGGTTCTTTCTTAATGATAATAAGCCTCCGAATAGGCCTTTCAAGTTGTACCATGTTTGGGAAATCTTAAAAGATTACCCAAAGTAGAATGATATAAATGAGCCTCCCACACAACGTTCGTCTGGAGCTAGTGCAAGTATGGTGAATTTGGATAACGACGCATCAATCCCATTCTCTTGGACCACAAGAGTCCAAGAGACTTGTGGTCACCCACCCTTAGATTTAATCCAAGGGCTGAGAAAAATTTACTTTAAAATATCTTTTTTCTTTTACCTTTTAAATTTCACTTTACAAAAAAGGAAAAAACTAAAAATTAACAACCCAAAATCTGTTCTTCTTCCTCACGTTGCCTGCCCCCACGTTCTGCTTCCTCCCATCGCTGCAGCCACAACAACTCCGACTCCGGAGTAGCGAGCGAAAATCCAGAGCCACTCATTCTCTGTTACCAGGTCTTTATTTTCTGCCAATCACAGCAAAACCTGTAAGTGCTTGGATTAAATTGGTTGAATTCCTATAGCTAGATAATATGATAAACAACTGCCTAGAATTGGTTGAATTAGGTTAATTCGAAGGTCATTTACAATTGAAATCATGAACCCATATTTGAGAATTTCAATTGAGTTTGTGTTATTTTTTATTTCAGAACTACTGGAACAAGCATGAATCTCAATCTGGGGTTCTTGCAACTGAGGTTCTTCTATTCGAGTTTTTCCTTTGTTAAACATGAATCTTATTATGGGGTTCTTGCAACTATGCTGTTTGTTATTGATATTTTTTTCTCTTTTTCTTTTTCCAGACCTTCATTTATTTATTTCTTCCATTCAAGTTTTTCCTTTGTTTATTACATATGTTTGTACTAATTTTCTTATGGTACATTTAAGTGCAGGAGTGATGGCAAATGCATTAGATGAATGGATGTCTTCTAAAGATGAATTTTATATCCCTCAAGTTAGAGATGATAAAAAACCGAAAGCAGGGCTGACATTCAAGTCATTGGATGAAACATATGAGTTCTACAATGATTACGCAAAGGATGCTGGATTTAGTGTCAGAATTAGTAAGGAGAAGAAAAAGAAAGAAATTGGTGAGGTTGTTTGGAAACGATACGTTTGTTTTAAGGAAGGTGAAATAGATGAGACGTGGAGAAAAAAAAAAGATAGTGAGTCTACACAAATAGAAAGAGAACGAAGTAATGTTTGTGAAAATTGCAAAGCAAAGTTAACAGTAGTTTATGATGGGTTCAATTTTGTAGTTAAGACTTTCATTGAGGAACATACGCATCCACTTGCAACACCATCTAGAGTACACTTGTTAAGATCTCATCGTGGTGTATCAGATACAAAAATTAAGTTGGTAAAAAAGTTTTCCAATGTGAACATTCCATTATATCAACAATTCGAACTAGATGAAAGGGAGAAAATAAAGGGTCATGATGCAGAAATGTTATATGAGTACTTCAAATCGGAGGAAGATAAGGATTCCGATTTCTTTTTTAAGTTTGAGACAGATAATAATAATAGGATGACTAGATGTTTCTGGGTTGACTCTGTTGCAAGGAAAGCTTACACACATTTTGGTGATGTGGTTGTATTTGATACAACCTACAATACAAATCGTTATGCAATGATATTTGCTCCTCTTGTAGGTGTTAACCACCATGGGCAAACTACCATTTTTGGTTGTGGATTTTTGAGTAATGAGACTTTTGACTCATTTGTTTGGCTATTAGAAACATGGTTAGAAGCAATGAAAGTTCCCCCTATAGTTATAATCACTGATCAAGATCAAGCAATGACTAAGGCTATAGCTCAAGTTTTGCCAAACACGTTCAACAGATATTGCGTGTGGCATATTTTGAACAAATTTCAAGAAAAGATGTGTTATTTTGCTCATCATAATTACTATGCACTTTTCAAGACAGCCATATGGGAATCTGAGACTGTAGAAGAATTTGAAAAGAGTTGGTATGAAGCTTTGGAGATAAGTCAGCCAAGTAGTAAGGACTGGTTCGAAGAAATGTATAAATTACGTGGTACATGGATTCCTGCCTATGTCAAGCAATACTTTTCTGCAGGGATGTCTAGCAGTCAAAGAGCAGAATCCATGCATGCATTCTTCAAGTGTTATTGTTCCAAAAGTAACTCTTTGATGGATTTTGTGACTCGTTTTAATAGGGCACTAGCTCATTTGAGACATGAAGAATTGGTTGCAGACCATGGGGATTTGAACGAGAAACCTAATATTAAATTAGGGATGCCGATGGAGAACCAAATGGTTGGTATGTACACTAAGAAATACTTTTACAAATTTCAAAAAGAGCTTCTGGAAAGTAATAGTTACATGGTGAATGTCACAGGTGAAGATGAAAATTGTTGGATTTACAAAATCCAAAAGTTCGATGCAAACTCTAGAGTACGAACCCTTGTGCATGATAAAATATCAAATCTACTGAAGTGCAGTTGTAGGTTATTTGATTTTGAAGGTATTTCGTGCAAGCATATGTTAGCATTTTTTCGAGTGAAACAAATTATGCAATTGCCAAAGGAGTATATTATGCGTAGATGAACAAAGTTTTCAAGAATTGGCAATGAAAAGTTCAAAGTGCAAGATGGTGCAGATAACTCACTAATATTGAGACACACAAGTTTGTTTCAACTTGCATCAAAGTTGATTGATGGCACTACAATATCAGAAGAAGGGACGCAACTTGTAGAAAAGTCATTCGAAGGACTTGTTGATCAAATTAAAAATATGAATTTGAGTTTGGTTGGTGAACCATCTAGTGTGAACAACTGCTACATAGGCAATACTGAAAAATAAAATTTGTAGATCCTCTCCATGTTAGAGCGAAAGGCTGTGGAAAACGATTAAAATCTTGGAGAGAAAAAATAAAAGGAAAATCTAGGCGGTGTTCCTTGTGTGGTAAGGTTGGCCAACATAATAAAAGGAAATGTCCATTACTTAATAGGTATGTGTTTGTATTTTCTACATCTTTTTGCAATTTTAAATTTTTTGGATTCGGTTGTATTTATGCAGTATGTCTACTAAAGAAAATCTTGTTAATGAGACATTTGTGGAAAGGAGTACAACTGATGAATAATAGCTTGTGGATGCTACTGGGTAGGTAGGTTGTTGTTTGGCTTGAGTTTTTCTTTGTATTTTTTTAAATAAACTTTGATGTGTATGTAATTTTTCCAGGGACATCACGCTTCGCAGATATGCTGTTTGGTACTTGACGTCAAGTTGTGTTCATAATAGCCGGATCAACAGTTCTCTAGATTTTATACTCTTGTTAATTTTTTATGTACTGGACTAGGCCATATTATATTTTTCTTCTTTCAGTCTTGCACAAATCTAGTTATGTCTATCAATTTGGTCATAATTTGGTATCCTTAGTGTCATGAGTAGCCGTTTAGATTAGAACATTTGTGCTTCTTCTTTTTTGCAATGTATTCCACATTCATGTGGAAAAATATATTTTACTAAAATCAAATAAGAACATTCAAGAATAGTACAAAACTCTCAATGATGAAGTGTTACATAATTTACATTCAAGAATAGTACAAAACTCTAGAATCTTCACCTATAAATGTAGTATTCTTATGTACAAACAATAACGAACGAACTCCGAAACTATAGAAATGTAATACAACGAAGGCAATTTAAGGAATGACAAGTGAACCAACAAATCCTTTCTCCGTGCTTCTGATTTATCAATTGATGGCAAAGGTGTACATAACAGCAAAACTGAACAAATTTGCACTTAACACCAGCTTCGGCAGCTCAGCTAGGCTTGCTTTTACGCCTACTCCCATTTTGTCAGAATCTGACAGAATCTGTAGAGTCATCCAGGCTTGATTTTCTTTCAAAGTTTTTATCCCCTCTGACTGATTTCATATTTCCTTTGACCATGAGAGGACCTATTCCATTTCCTTTCCTTCTCTATTGCTAGAAACACACAGAGTTCATTCATTTACAGACTTCTAGAATGCAACAAGATCAGTTAACTATCAGTAAAAACAAAATTCATTTATAACATTCAGTTATCAATTACATACATATGAACACCACAACCAATATCATAGTTGTAAAGTAATCAACTTCTCTCTTGTAAAGGAGCTTCGAATTAACCAAATTCAACCAATTATAGGCAGTTGTCTATCATATTATCTACCTATAGGAATCCAACCAGTTCAAACCAACCAATTACACACTTTGCTATGGTTGGGAGAAAATAAAAAACTGGTAATAGAGAAGGAACACAAGTCTCTCAGAAACTACAGGACGATTCACTAGAGTGAAAACTTGACTTGGACATTTTCTGAGCCAGAGAATTGAAAGTAACCAATCATATGTTAAGATGCATACAAGGGTTTATTCTTTTCCCAATTCATTCCCAATTTCTAGAAATCAAAGGGTTTATTCTTTTCCCAACTAGAGACTGATATTTGTTCATATGCGTACAAGGAATAGTTATAGTAGTTCCAAAATAAAAAATAACACAAACCCAATTGAAATTCCCAGATATGGGTTCATGATTTCAAATCCGAAAATTGAATGAAAAAATTGAAGAAGAATAAGAAACTGACCTTGTTGCAGATGCGTACAAGGAATAGTTACAGTAGTTCCAAAATAAAAAATAACACAAACCCAATTGAAATTCCCAGATATGGGTTCATGATTTCAAATCCGAAAATTGAATGAAAAAATTGAAGAAGAATAAGAAACTGACCTTGTTGCAGATGCGTACAAGGAATAGTTACAGTAGTTCCAAAATAAAAAATAACACAAACCCAATTGAAATTCCCAGATATGGGTTCATGATTTCAAATCCGAAAATTGAATGAAAAAATTGAAGAAGAATAAGAAACTGACCTTGTTGCAGATGCGTACAAGGAATAGTTACAGTAGTTCCAAAATAAAAAATAACACAAACCCAATTGAAATTCCCAGATATGGGTTCATGATTTCAAATCCGAAAATTGAATGAAAAAATTGAAGAAGAATAAGAAACTGACCTTGTTGCAGATGCGTACAAGGAATAGTTACAGTAGTTCCAAAATAAAAAAATAACACAAACCCAATTGAAATTCCCAGATATGGGTTCATGATTTCAAATCC